TAGTTGGGCGTCATTTCTCCCATTTGAAGGTTTAATGGATGAGCAAAGTAGGGTCCTAAAATGGCTGGTTTGGTTATTGTGATGACCGGGGCTTACAGCGTAAGAATAAGTAGATATACAGTGGGGAAAAAAAGTATTTAGTCAGCCACCAATTGTGCAAGTTCTCCCACTTAAAAAGATGAGAGAGGCCTGTAATTTTCATCATAGGTACACATCAACTATGACAGACAAATTGAGGAAAAAAAATCCAGAAAATCCCATTGTAGGATTTTTAATGAATTTATTTGCAAATTATGGTGGAAAAGAAGTATTTGGTCACCTACAAACAAGCAAGATTTCTGGCTCTCACAGACCTGTAACTTCTTCTTTCAGAGGCTCCTCTGTCCTCCACTCGTTACCTGTATTAATGGCACCTGTTTGAACTTGTTATCAGTATAAAATACACCTGTCCACAACCTCAAACAGTCACACTCCAAACTTCACAATGGCCAAGACCAAAGAGCTGTCAAAGGACACCAAAAACAAAATTGTAGACCTGCACCAGGCTGGGAAGACTGAATCTGCAATAGGTAAGCAGCTTGGTTTGAAGAAATCAACTGTGGGAGCAATTATTAGGAAATGGAAGACATACAAGACCACTGATAATCTCCCTCGATCTGGGGCTCCACGCAAGATCTCACCCCGTGGGGTCAAAATGATCACAAGAACGGTGAGCAAAAATCCCAGAACCACACGGGGGGACCTAGTGAATGACCTGCAGAGAGCTGGGACCAAAGTAACAAAGCCAACCATCAGTAACACACTACGCCGCCAGGGACTCAAATCCTGCAGTGCGAGACGTGTCCCCCTGCTTAAGCCAGTACATGTCCAGGCCCGTCTGAAGTGCATTTGGATGATCCAGAAGAGGATTGGGAGAATGTCATATGGTCAGATGAAACCAAAATATAACTTTTTGGTAAAAACTCAACTCGTCATGTTTGGAGGACAAAGAATGCTGAGTTGCATCCAAAGAACACCATACCTACTGTGAAGCATGGGGTTGGAAACATCATGCTTTGGGGCTGTTTTTCTGCAAAGGGACCAGGACGACTGATCCGTGTAAAGGAAAGAATGAATGGGGCCATGTATCGTGAGATTTTGAGTGAAACCCTCCTTCCATCAGCAAGGGCATTGAAGATGAAACGTGGCTGGGTCTTTCAGCATGACAATGATCCCAAACACACCGCCCGGGCAACGAAGGAGTGGCTTCGTAAGAAGCATTTCAAGGTCCTGGAGTGGCCTAGCCAGTCTCCAGATCTCAACCCCATAGAAAATCTTTGGAGGGAGTTGAATGTCTGTGTTGCCCAGCGACAGCCCCAAAACATCACTGCTCTAGAGGAGATCTGCATGGAGGAATGGGCCAAAATACCAGCAACAGTGTGTGAAAACCTTGTGAAGACTTACAGAAAACGTTTGACCTGTGTCATTGCCAACAAAGGGTATATAACAAAGTATTGAGAAACTTTTGTTATTGACCAAATACTTATTTTCCACCATCATATGCCAATAAATTCATAAAAAATCCTACAATGTGATTTTCTGGAAAAAAAATTATCATATTGTCTGTCATAGTTGACGTGTACCTATGATGAAAATTACAGGCCTCTCTCATCTTTTTAAGTGGGAGAACTTGCACAATTGGTGGCTGACTAAATACTTTTTTTCCCCACTGTACATATCCTATTACATATCCTTTGTAACATATCGTTATCTTGTGGTCCTCAACATGTAAAGAGTATCTTATTTCATATCGTTATTTGATTTTATGGTTTTCTAATAAACTCAAGCTTAATAGCTCCCTATGTTACGTATGATGACACTTCTTCCATTCCATAACCTTTGAACCATGTTGTCCAGCTAGTGGGTTTGAAGTCAGGCCAATATCAGCGGTCACCGAGGTCACTCTTGCCACGTTGAGAAACAGTCCAGCTCACAGAAATGTTTGGCGCTGACACACCGATGTACACCTCTCTCTCTCTCTCTCTCTCTCTCTCGCTCTCTCTCTGATTAGACCACCTGACTCCCAGCATGCATCCCAAATGGCACCCTATTCCATGTATAGTGCACAACTTTTGACCAGGGTAGTGCACTTTAAAGGGAATAGGGTGCCATTTGGGATGCATGCTGGGAGTCAGGTGGTCAGGCACTGTGAGGACTCTATCAGCTATCAGCTGCTAACTAACCTGATGCTGCAGTGCAGGCTGTCAGCTTCACACCAAGTGTCATGACGTCACATTGAACTCATTGTACTGGTGTAGTCTGTGACGTCACATTGAACTCATGGTACTGGTGTAGTCTGTGACGTCACATTGAACTCATGGTACTGGTGTAGTCTTTATGTCTCCCGAGTGGCGCAGTGGTCTAAGGCACTGCATCGCAGTGCTAGCTAGAGATCCTGGTTCGAATCCAGGCTCTGCTGTAGCCGGCCGTAACCGAGAGACCAATTGGGCGGGGCACAATTGGCCCAGTGTCGTCCAGGGTAGGGGAGGGAATGGCCGGCAGGGAGGTAGCTCAGTTGGTAGAGCATGACGTTTGCAACGCCAGGGTTGTGGGTTCGTTTCCCACGGGGGGCCAAAATGAAAAAGAATAATGTATGCAGTAACTGTAAGTCGCTCTGGATAAGAGCGTCTGCTAAATGACGTAAATGTCTGTGACGTCACATTGAACTCATGGTACTGGTGTAGTCTGTGACGTTACATTGAACTCATGGTACTGGTGTAGTCTGTGACGTCACATTGAACTCATGGTACTGGTGTAGTCTGTGACGTTACATTGAACTCATGGTACTGGTGTGGTCTGTGACGTTACATTGAACTCATGGTACTGGTGTGGTCTGTGACGTCACATTGAACTCATGGTACTGGTGTGGTCTGTGACGTTACATTGAACTCATGGTACTGGTGTAGTCTGTGACGTTACATTGAACTCATGGTACTGGTGTGGTCTGTGACGTTACATTGAACTCATGGTACTGGTGTGGTCTGTGACGTTACATTGAACTCATGGTACTGGTGTAGTCTGTGACGTTACATTGAACTCATGGTACTGGTGTGGTCTGTGACGTTACATTGAACTCATGGTACTGGTGTGGTCTGTGACGTTACATTGAACTCATGGTACTGGTGTGGTCTGTGACGTTACATTGAACTCATGGTACTGGTGTGGTCTGTGACGTTACATTGAACTCATGGTACTGGTGTGGTCTGTGTCGTGTGAAATAAATGAGCATTATGTTATGATCCCTTTTAATAATATAATATAATATGCCATTTAGCAGACGCTTTTATCCAAAGCGACTTACAGTCATGCGTGCATAAATTTTTGTGTATGGGTGGTCCCGGGGATCGAACCCACTACCTTGGCGTTACAAGCGCCGTGCTCTACCAGCTGAGCTACAGAGGACCATCCCTTGACGTGCATTGATGTCCTGCAGACCGTCTGCTACTGCTGGCCAGTAATGGAGGCCACTGACAGGTGGGCAGAGTAGTTTGTACGTATATTGTGTCCCAAATGGCACCCTATTCCCTATATAGTGCACTACGTTTGACCGGAGCTCCTATGGTCTCTTTGTCAAAAGTAGTGCACTAAATAGAGAATATGAACTTTATAGAACCCTTGAGATAAAGAATCTCCTTTATGAGGGAGAGACTTGGCCAAGAGCATAGGCCTTCAGTGTGCAGTAAAAACCAACAGACACATGCATACTGCAACACACCAATACAAAACAAATGCTACTCCGGGAAAAAGTGCTTTCTAATATCAAAATCCACCCATACAGGCAAAACCTTATGTTCTAGTGACTAGCCTACTTGAGGACTTGAATGCAGCATTACATGGTCAGTTTTGACCAACATGTATTCCAGGCCGGCTTTCTAGGATACTCCCAGTTGAAAGCAGAACGTAGTTCCCAGAGTTATGACATTGTCAGATATTATGCTGTATCTACAGTATGTATCAACTGTTGCAGTTTTGACCTTGTACAGTATTGCTCTTTAAATCTGACACAAATGCACAAGATGTTGCAAAGCCAAAAAAAAAAGTACAATAACATTCACCTTGAATATTATAGGACCATATGCTAGCTTGCTGGAACTCTAATTTGCACTCATCCATAATGTAATATAGCCTACGCCATGTTCTCACCAGTGCAGTGTCCCAAAAACTGCCTCTGTTGGATCAACATGTTCTAAATCACATAGTTGAATTCATTCATCTCCCCTATTTGACCAAGATAGTTTGTGTGTATGTATTGATATGTAGGCTACCTGTGCCTTTAAAAAAAATGTATATAGTTCTGTCCTTGAGCTGTTCTTGTCTATTAATGTTCTGTATTATGTCATGTTTCATGTTTTGTGTGGACCCCAGGAAGAGTAGCTGCTGCTTTTGCAACAGCTAATGGGGATCCTAATAAAATACCTAATACCAAATCTTACAGTAACACGTATTGACATACAAATGCTATCTGACCTGTTTTGAAACAAATTGGTATTATCTCAGAAATGTCTTAATCCCCTTTTCAGGCAATAGCTTTAATAATATCAATGGAAATAGGGCCACTGAATAATGATATCCAAATGTTATTCACTAACTTAACTTTGAATATTTTTTGGGGTTGCAGTCTGTCTGCAACATTTCAGTTGTGACTGAAAACCATTTATGAAAACGGATCGGCCGGTTGCGTTACTTTCTTCCATTTGTGCGGAAGAGATTGGACATGCGGCTGATAAGAATGTGCTGGCGTAAGGTGTAGAATTACAGGGAACATTTTTCTCAAGTCACGTTGGCTGCCCCCCCACAACTTGTCCCAATGCATAGAGGCGCGCTGCACGCGGTATAAAGAGGCGTCAGAACGCGAGGGGTCTTCCATTCATTCTCAGAACTCCTGACATTCAGGTGGATCTTGTCCTGCCGCGTAGCCGCCAGAATATCCCAAATAGCCATCACCATTATCAGGTCGGACAATGCTGCGAGTCAGGTGTCTCAGAGGAGGTAGCAGGGGGGCCGAGGCCGCCCATCTGATCGGAGCTATGGTTGGTATTTAGTTTCTGTTTTTTGTTTATTCAGAAATGTACAAAATCATAAAATGTGGAGATGTATCAGGGGAGCGCAGCTGCGGCAAACAGCTGTTAGCTGTCACTCAGAAAAGTGGACACATTTCATTTCAGTTTTTTACAATCTGAAGATTTTTTTTTTTTTTATTGAGTTTGTTCTGATTAATTTGAACATTCTTCTTTCAAATAAAATGAATTGGCTATTTTTTCCACTTTCTTTTCACAGCAAAATGCTCAATTAAATGTAGGCCTACCAATCAAAAAGCAGGTCATTTTCTTTCATGACTTGATTTTGTCCGGACATAGACAAGTTTTTGTTTCAAATAAAACGAATAGAGCAGCATTTTTTGCCTCACTCAAGAATTTCGCTTGCTGTTCTCTGGAATTGTGAATTAAGTAAAATCCTTCTCTGCACGAAGTAGAATGCAAAATTGATACAGAAATTAAAACATTAATTTATGGATTTATTGGAAGAGAAAGTTTCTGCTTTATTTGGAAGTGTTTAAGAGAAAAATGTGTCCGGCAGCATATTTTTGCGCGTGAGTGACAGTGGACAGCTGTTACAGACAATGGAGCTGCCCTCCCTGAACCCACTGACACCGAGAGCTGCGCATGTGCCCGCAGACCCCTTGAAATTATATCTCCAACTGAGATAACTGCGTTTATCAAGCGCACCTTGACTCAAACCCTTTAGGCCTTATCGAACATTAGGCTTTAACACCTTATGCTGACAAATGGTTTTCCTTTTGACTTTGTGATGCTTCTGTCTTTGTGTAATGTAGAATGTGTATGATAAGGCTTACTGTAAGAGATGAAGCTAACAGGTCATTTAGTCCTAGGTCTACTTATCTTTAAACCCTAGTTCTCATGGTCATGACTTCAAAAATCCCCTCAGTTAAACTACTGATTGGAAAAGTATATTCAAAAATCCACACGGAAGCTTAACATCTTAATCATTTTGATTTGTGTGAATGTAATGTTATGGTAAAGCTGTGAACGGCCCTGTAATAATGTGTTGCGTTGGGTAGCCGACAGTGTGACCCAGTGGCATACAGCAGTTTCGCGCCCCGCAAGTTCTGAGCAACACATGTTTTTTTGGGGGGTGGAAAACAACTAACTTCCTACAATTCTACACATTTTGCCATGGGGAAAAGATAACAACTTTCAGTTTTATATCTAATCCCATGCTATTGTACACATTTTGCCATGAGGCTGAGAGAAAATGTTGCAGCTAATTTCCTGTCTCACTTTTTTTTTGCAATGATTGCGGAAGGCTGCGGGGGTGTGTGGACACCAGTGGTGTGACCACACCGTGACATGAGAGCAGATGATACTTATACAGCTTTTCATCTTTCTGCAGCTCGGCCGCGCGGTGACTGGCTGGGTGCAGGGCGTGTTCCAGAGGACCTCGAGTTCCGCCGCTGCCGCGTCCGCCGCGCAGCCCCAACGCGCCCTGGAGGAGGACGCTGTTACTGAGCCTGCGCAGCAGGAGTGCCCTGTCTGCGCCTACAACGAATGGGACCCGCTCGAGGAGGTGATTGTAGGCCGCGCCGAGAACGCGCGCGTGCCTCCTTTCACTGTAGAGGTCAAGGTAAGGTGATCAAATCAGAACTCACAATTATGTAGAACAAATCTACACTATTATGTTCAAACTAAAATGCATGCGCCATAAAATATATAAATATATTATTGCACTGAGTTGATGAAAAATTAGCCTATCGCAAATAGCAACAGCTTCCTTACAAAATACATTCACATCTTAATGGGACTCACCTGCTTAAATAAAATATAAATCATTTAAGTAAACTAATGAATGAAGAACCCATAGTGATGTATTAAACTCTTTCAACAGGCTAACACATATGAGAAGCATTGGCCCTTCTACCAGAAGTATGGGGGCCAAACCTTTCCTGAGGACCACTTGAAGAAAGCTGTTGCTGAGATTGAGGAAATGTGCAATATTCTCCGCATGGAGGGAGTCACAGTTCAGAGACCCGAACCCATGGACTGGTCCTTCGAGTACAAGACTCCAGACTTCAACTCTACTGGTAGGCAGAGGGGAGCGCTACGGGATTGATTGATTGGTTAATTGATTGGTTGGTTGAATGATTGATCGTTTGTTTGTTTGTGTGAATGGGTGATTAAGGGATTGATTGTTTGATGGAAGATTCACGACCTGAACATTGAGATTGAGTAAAAACCCTGTGTGTCTCTAACATGTCTACTCATATCTCCTCTTCTCCCCCCCCCCCCCCCCCCCCCCACCTCCCACGCCCCCAGGCATGTACGCTGCCATGCCCAGAGACATCCTCATGGTGGTGGGGAATGAGATTATCGAAGCCCCCATGGCCTGGAGGTCCCGCTTCTTTGAGTACCGGGCCTACAGACCACTCATCAAGGAGTACTTCAGAAAGGGTGCCAAGTGGACCACCGCCCCAAAACCCACCATGTCTGATGAGCTGTACGATCAGGTGAGGTGTTAGATGGCATCCTGACCACGAGAGGAGCTCACTCACTTCCGAGTCCCTGGTCCTGTAGGGATCACACATACTAAACAAGCGTTCACCGTAATGTAAGTTGCTATTACTATACCTGGTATATATTACTCAAACTGTGCTTTGGCCTTATCTCATATCTCATGCTATAAGTGACATACTACCCATGAGATTAGGCCCAAGCTTAGTGTGTTTATACTACCCATGAGATTAGTCCCAAGGACAGGGTGTGTATGTTAGTCATGTGGCAAGGGGCCATTTTAAAGGTACACCGTTCATACATGATAACTTAATGGATGTAGATCTCCCCCCCCTCCCCCTCCCTCCCGCCCCCCCTCCCCCCCTCCCCCCTCCCTCCTCAAACTGAGACTCAGTGATGTGACATTGCCACAAGCAGCAGGGTGAACCAAAGATATTGCATATGAGTGTGATGCAAGAAGATGCACTCACACAGAGCTATTCATTGTAAATGTTTGTAGGCCTATGTAGCCAAATTGTATCTATGATCGTACGCTATCCATTCATGTTTTTTTGTATGTTCTGTTTATATCTGTGAATTAACCAATGATATCAGGCCACACCCGGCCATGATTACAGACACCTGTGTGTGTCCTTTGACACTATATAAACTAGTGACCCGCAGTGTTTGTCATTATACCCTGATGAAGACAGCTTGTCTGTCCAAACGTTGGTTATTAGGTTATTCAATTATTGCATCTGAGCTCCTAGAGTGTGCGGATCTCCTTTTCTTTATCAAGCACTCACACAGAGTATCTACACCGGTACGCTTCACTCTGCTGCAGTGTGAGAGCTGCAGCCTGCCAACAACGGTGGAGAAGTTTAGCCTCGTGCTTCAACACTCTTAGCTGTTGCGGATATCGGCCCGATACTGCTGTTTACTTTGTTTATCACTGAGTCTACCTTTAGACCTGTCAGTCTCTGACCTCTGTCTGACCCCCCTCCCCCCTCCAGGACTAACCCGTCTCTCTCTCTACCCTGTCTGTCTCTCTAACCTGTCTCTCTCTCTCTGTCACCTTCCAGGACTAACCTGTCTGTCTCTCTAACCTGTCTCTCTCTCTGCCCCCTCCAGGACTACCCTCTGTATCTCTAACCTGTCTCTCTCTCTCTGCCCCCTTCCAGGACTAACCTGTCTGTCTCTCTAATCTGTCTCTCTCTCTGCCTGCCTCCAGGACTAACCTGTCTGTCTCTCTAATCTGTCTCTCTCTCTGCCTGCCTCCAGGACTACCCTGTCTGTCTCTCTAATCTGTCTCTCTCTCTGCCCCCTTCCAGGACTAACCTGTCTGTCTCTCTAACCTGTCTCTCTCTCTGCCCCCTCCAGGACTACCCTCTGTCTCTCTAACCTGTCTCTCTCTCTCTGCCTGCCTCCAGGACTACCCTGTCTGTCTCTCTAACCTGTATCTCTCTCTGCCCCCCTCCAGGATTACCCTGTCTGTCTCTCTAACCTGTCTCTCTCTCTGCCTGCCTCCAGGACTAACCTGTCTGTCTCTCTAACCTGTCTCTCTCTCGCCCCACTCCAGGAGTACCCCATCCGTACGGTGGAGGACAGACACAAGCTGGCTGCCCAGGGAAAGTTTGTCACCACCGAACACGAGCCGTGCTTCGACGCGGCTGACTTCATCAGAGCTGGCAGGGATCTGTTCGTCCAGAGGAGTCAGGTATGGAGGCCACAATGCCAATAGCATCACGCTGTGTTCATCAGAGCTGGCAGGGATCTGTTCGTCCAGAGGAGTCAGGTATGGAGGCCACAATGCCAATAGCATCACGCTGTGTTCATCAGAGCTGGCAGGGATCTGTTGGTCCAGAGGAGTCAGGTATGGAGGCCACAATGCCAATAGCATCACGCTGTGTTCATCAGAGCTGGCAGGGATCTGTTCGTCCAGAGGAGTCAGGTATGGAGGCCACAATGCCAATAGCATCACGCTGTGTTCATCAGAGCTGGCAGGGATCTGTTCGTCCAGAGGAGTCAGGTATGGAGGCCACAATGCCAATAGCATCACGCTGTGTTCATCAAGCGGCAGGGATTGTTCGTCCAGAGGTCGGGAGCCACAATGAAGCTCACGCTGTGTCATCAATGGCAGGGATCTGTGTGTTCTCAGAGAGAGTTCAAGGTCGGTATGGAGCCACAATGCCAATAGCATCACGCTGTGTTCATCAGAGCTGGCAGGGATCTGTTCGTCCAGAGGAGTCAGGTATGGAGGCCACAATGCCAATAGCATCACGCTGTGTTCATCAGAGCTGGCAGGGATCTGTTCGTCCAGAGGAGTGGTACGAGGTGCCACAAGCATCATGCCAATAGCATCACGCTGTGTTCATCAGAGCTGGCAGGGATCTGTTCGTCCAGAGGAGTCAGGTATGGAGGCCACAATGCCAATAGCATCACGCTGTGTTCACTCCTTACTGAAAAGGGTTGCGGAGTGTGCAGCTTAGGTTCAGCCTTTTGATATTTTCTTAGCACCAGGCCAATGCTTTCCCTCATCAGAGAGACAGGTCATATGTATCTATCTCATCAGAGACCAGGCAGTGTTTCTATCTTCAGTCTGCTACAGAGAGCATAGATAGATAGATAGATAGATAGATAGATAGATAGAAGATAGATAGATAGATAGATAGATAGATAGATAGATATTGATAATAGATAGATAGATAGACAGATAGATAGATAGATAGATAGATAGATAGATAGATAGATAGATAGATAGATAGATAGATAGACTAGATTAGATAGTAGAGATAGATAGATAGATAGATAGATAGATAGATAGATAGATAGATAGATAGATAGATAGATAGATAGATAGATAGATAGATAGAGTACTTGCCCAACAGAAGCCTACACTGCCTAGCTGCAATTAGATCCCCAGTCTGTTGCAAGAAGCAAGCCGACAGAAGCCGAAAGGACTGGTCTTTAGACTGATTCCTGGGTCACTGAACACATTGAGTCCCCGTTGAGGCCTTTAGTGTTTGTCAATGACCAAGTTCAGAGCCACTAATTAACACAATTACATAAAGGCCTAGAGGCCTACGCCTGGACCAGCTCTGTGGGACCACAGGGTTAACTAGTGATGGTAATGAATTGGGTAATGCAACACTTTATTTTATGTCCCAGTCTCAGAAAGTGTTTACCTGGTATTTACAAGTAAACTATGTGATATCAATAGGTACTTTCTGGAACATACTGTTGAAGAATTCAACGCAATGGGTAACTAACTACCTGGTACCAAATGGTGTATAGTTATTAGTACTAGATATTACTAAGCCATTATTAGGTATCATTTAACCACGTCATTCCAATTTATTGTTGATTGATTCCAGTCGTTATTTCTCAATTTCCAGGTTACAAACTACATGGGGATTGAGTGGATGCGTCGGCATCTTGCCCCGGACTACAAGGTACACATCATATCGTTAAGGCCCAACCATTGCTATACGCCCTTCAACATCATGCCGGGATGGTGCTGCCACTGACCCCTTGTCCAAGGTCAAGTAAGGCAGAGCAATGAGCAAAGGGAGGTCTTGAGGAGTGGTGGGGGGTCATGACCTGGCCCAGGAGGCGAGGGAGAATGGACAGAGGGAGGAGATGGGAAGAAGGGAAGGAGGGGGGAGAGCGGGAGCGGGAAGGAGAGGGAGAGAGGGGGAACTAGTGGATGGAGGAGGGATTTGGGGGGTTGCAAAGAGAGCAGAAGGGATGATGGATTAAGGAAATGAGAGAGATAACAGATAGGTGATGGAGAGAGACGGAAGAGATAGAGAGGGAAGGGAGCGATGATGTAGCCAAATGGAGGATGAGAAGTACAGATGAAATAGAAGGATATTAGGTCAGTTTACAACTGAATGCATTACTGGAATGATGTCTTCCACAATAGTTACCAAAACCAGGTTAAACTAAGATGAGAGGAGGAGAGTGAGAGTGAGGAGTCAGGATGAGAGAGGAAAGAGAGAGAGAGAGAAGAGAGACAAAGAGAGGAGGAGAGAGAAAACAAGAGAGGGAGAGGGAAGAAAAAGAGAGGAGAGGGATGAAGAAAAAAGAGAGGATAGAAGAATGAAACAAGATAGATGGAGAGAGAGAAACAAGAGAGAGAGGAGAGAGAAACAAGAGAGAGAGGAGAGAGAAACAAGAGATAAACAAGAGAGAGAGGAGAGAGAAACAGAGAGGAGAGAGGAGGAGATGAAACAAAGAGAGAAATAAAGAGAGAGAGGAGAAAAAGAGAAACGAGAGAAAACAAGAGAGATGGAGAGAAAACAAGAGAGTAGAGTAGTAGAAGAGATGAGAGAGAGAAACAAGAGAAAGAGAGAGAGAGAAGAAAAGAGGAGAGAGAGAAAACAAAGAGAAACAGATAGAGAGAGAGAGAAACAAGAAGAGAGTAAACAAGAAAGAGGAGATTAGAAAACAATATCAGAGAGAGATAGAGAGAAACAGAGAAGAGAGAGAGAGACAAGGAAGAGAGAGAGGAGAGAGAAACAAGAGAGAGAGGAGAGAGAGAGAGAAACAAGAGAGAGAGGAGAGAGAAACAAGAGAGAGAGAGAGAGGAGAGAAACAAGAGAGAGAGGAGAGAGAAACAAGAGAGAGAGAAGGAAAAAGAGAGAAACAAGAGAGAGAGAAAAAAAGAGAGAGAAAGAAAACAGAGAGAGAGAAGAGGAAACAAGAGAGAGGAGAGAGAAACAAGAAAGAGAGAGAGAACAAGAGATAGAGAGAGGAGAAACAAGAGAGAAGAGAGGAAGAGAGAGAGAGAGAAGAAACAGAGAGAGAGAGAGACAGAGAGAACAAAGCGAGAGAGAGAGAGAAAACAAGAGAGAGAGGAGAGAGAAACAAGAGAGAGAGGAGAGAGAAACAAGAGAGAAACAAGAGAGGAGAGAGAGAGAGAGAGAAACAAGAGATGACCCTCCTGACCAGTTTGACCTTTCCCCCTGTATATACAGTCCTGCAGTGCCCTCTAGTAGAGTGATGCTGTAACCGATACAACTCTACATGGGAAGAGACTTCTGTCTGACCCACAGCATCTCTGATTTCTCTCCTTCAGGTGGAGATGTTTGAGAAGGCCGGGTGGACCGTGGTGAAGCCTCCAACTCCTCTGATTCCAGATGGTATGATATTGTTGTTGTTGTTGTTATTGTTATTGTTGTTGTTTGAGAATTCAAGACACCTATCAACAAAAGACAGCCCTATTTCTAGCACTTCCTGATTTGTTGATAGACAACTGTCGGTGTGGTCTTTTCATGGTGTGATGATATCTACGAGTGTCTGGTTAGTACATCTACCTGTTCTCCCATCAGATCACCCTCTGTGGATGTCCTCTAAGTGGCTGTCTATGAATGTCCTGATGCTGGATCCCAAACGGGTCATGTGTGATGCCAATGAGCATACCATCCACAAGATGTTTCGAGGACCTTGGTGAGTGGAATACCACCTACATGTATGACCTATGACAGTTCATTAGAATCCCTCCACTAAGTATTCTATTCAAACATTTAGTATCTTTATTTAGGGATTGATTGATTTATTAGTTTGTCTAGTTCAGATAAAGTTCCAAAACAGACCTTTTGACAACTGCCATCGAATAATGGATACTATTTACTCCTTCCTCTCATTTATCTGACTCCCTCCCTCCCTCCCTCCCTCCCTCCGTCCGTCCGTTCGCCGTCCGTCCCTTCCCTCCCTCGCCTCCTCCCTCCCTCCTCCCTCCCTCCCTCCCTCCCTCCCTCCCTCCTCCCCTCCGTCCGTCCGTCCCCTCCCCCTCCTCCTCCCGCCCTCCTCCGTTCTCCAGGTATCAAGACCATCAAGGTGGACATCCGCCACGCCAACTCCCTGGGAGGAGGCTTCCACTGCTGGACCACCGACGTGCGTCGCCGTGGTACCCTCGAGTCCTACTTCCACTAGCCACGCCAGAAACGGGCAGTTTTTATTGAGCTTAAGTAAGGTTGAAGTCCCAATCAACAATCTGCAGTTGATTTTTCCTTTAAAAAAAAATGAAAACCACGTGTGTTGATTTAAAGTAAACAGTCCTGTGCATGACAGTGCCTTTCGCGACTACGCTTGGTTCTGAGTTTAATTTTAACGCTCAACAACAATAAAAGTTTTAAAAAACTCGCTTTTAGAGAGAGAAAAAGAGAAGTACTCAATAACCTCAATAAATACTGCATTTCTGGCTTGGCTATTGTGAAGCAACGTTGTACCATCTAAATGACTCTGAGTTAACATCAAAACGAGTGGTTTGTAAAGAGGGCAGGGCAGGCTACTCTATAGGTGTGATGATGATGACATCACACTTGGTCCGCGTCTGAAATGGCACCCTATTCACTATATAGTGCACTACTTTTGACCACTACTTCCTTTTTATGAACTCAGAAAAAAATATCAACATTCATTCACTGTATTATCAATTGATGCTGCCATATGATCTTTTTTTTAATATGATTTTTTTAATTCAAAAGAATGTCTCAAAGTTTTTATAGTAGATCACTATTATTAAACAATATGGATTTCTTATCTCAGGTATTTTATATATTGTAAAAAAAAAATAAAAAAAGAGAGAGAGAAAATAATGACTTAAACGGGACAAATGGATACTATATTTGTATTTTTCATACATTTTATTTGGGCTCATACATTTTATTTGGGCTCATACATTTTATTTGGGCTCATACCTTTTTCATTGTTTCCCAGAAATTAGCCTTTTTTATATCTTTGCTTAAAAGGAGAATGAGGTCCATATCAGATATTGTGATACCTTGCAGACCTGGGTCAAATATCAAATACTTTCAAATACTGCACTTAATTTAGTTTGGACCGGTAGAATGGAACCGATGTAATATGGTCCCAGAAGTACAAACGCCAAGCTAAATCAAGTGCACCTCAAACACTTTCAAGTACATGTATTTTTCAAGTATTTTACGTAAGTATTATAAACAAGTATTTTACAAGTATTTTATACTATGTATTTGACCCAGTCTGATATCTTATGCCTCTGCTGTCTTCTACAATAGCAACTGAGCCAGATCTATGCTAGTTATTTTCATTACACTGCTAAAGCTGCTTCTACGTTTGCATGGTCAAAAGACCTACAGGGTTCAGGAGGTCTCTGGATGCATCCCAAATGGCACCCTAATCCCTATATAGTGCATAAAGTAGTGCACTATATATGGAATAGGGTGCCATTTGGGATGCACAATGTGTTTATGTAATTATATCGTTTTTAGTTTACGTTCGTAGTCGTTTTCTCCTTGATACACATGTAATGTATTCTTGGAGATCAAGTGTTTTGAATCTTGAATTGACGTTCGATTGACCCATAGCATTAAAGATGGCTCAAGGATGCAATATCAATTATAAAAAATAAATGATAGAAAAATGTTTGAGAAATATTTCATTATTATTCATTATTATTACAATTGTTATTATTGTTATATTTTATCTATCTATCTATCTATCTATCTATCTATCTATCTATCTATCTATCTATCTATCTATCTATCTATCTATCTATCTATCTATCTATCTATCTATCTATCTATCTATCTATCTATCGTGAGGGAAAAAAGTATTTGATCCCCAGCTGATTTTGTACGTTTGCCCACTGACAAAGACATGATCAGTCTATAATTTTAATGGTAGGTTTATTTGAACAGTGAGAGACAGAATAACAACAAATAAATCTAGAAAAACGCATGTCAAAAATGTTATAAATTGATTTGCATTTTAATGAGGGAAATAAGTATTTGACCCCTCTGCAAAACATGACTTAGTACTTGGTGGCAAAACCCTTGTTGGCAATCAGAGGTCAGACGCTTTTTGTAGTTGGCCACCAGGTTTGCACACATCTCAGGAGGGATTTTGTTCCCCTCCTCTTTGCAGATCTTCTCCAAGTCATTAAGGTTTCGAGGCTGACGTTTGGCAACTTGAACCTTCAGCTCCCTCCACAGATGTTCTATGGGATTAAGGTCTGGAGACTGGCTAGGCCACTCCAGGACCTTAATGTGCTTCTTCTTGAGCCACTCCTTTGTTGCCTTGGCCGTGTGTTTTGGGTCATTGTCATGCTGGAATACCCATCCACGACCCATTTTCAATGCCCTGGCTGAGGGAAGGAGGTTCTCACCCAAGATTTGACGGTACATGGCCCCGTCCATCGTCCCTTTGATGCGGTGAAGTTGTCCTGTCCCCTTAGCAGAAAAAACACCCCCAAAGCATAATGTTTCCACCTCCATGTTTGACAGTGGGGATGGTGTTCTTGGGGTCATAGGCAGCATTCCTCCTCCTCCAAACACGGCGAGTTGAGTTGATGCCAAAGAGCTCGATTTTGGTCTCATCTGAGCACAACACTTTCACCCAGTTCTCCTCTGAATCATTCAGATGTTCATTTGGCAAACGTCAGACGGCCCTGTATATGTGCTTTCTTGAGCAGGGGGACCTTGCGGGCGCTGCAGGATTTCAGTCCTTCACGGCGTAGTGTGTTACCAATTGTTGTCTTGGTGACTATGGTCCCAGCTGCCTTGAGATCATTGACAAGATCCTCCCGTGTAGTTCTGGGCTGATTCCTCACCGTTCTCATGATCATTGCAACTCCACGAGGTGAGATCTTGCATGGAGCCCCAGGCCGAGGCAGATTGACAGTTCTTTTGTGTTTCTTCCATTTGCGAATAATCGCACCAACTGTTGTCACCTTCTCACCAAGCTGCTTGGCGATGGTCTTGTAGACCATTCCAGCCTTGTGTAGGTCTACAATCTTGTCCCTGACATTCTTGGAGAGCTCTTTGGTCTTGGCCATGGTGGAGAGTTTGGAATCTGATTGATTGATTGCTTCTGTGGACAGGTGTCTTTTATACAGGTAACAAACTGAGATTAGGAGCACTCCCTTTAAGAGTGTGCTCCTAATCTCTGCGTTTTTCTGGATTTTTTTGTTGTTATTCTGTCTCTCACTGTTCAAATAAACCTACCATTAACATTATACACTGATCATTTCTTTGTCAGTGGGCAAACGTACAAAATCAGCAGGGGATCAAATACTTTTTTCCCTCACTGTATCTACCCAACCAGGGGGACTGACTCAATAAATGTTTATGTCAAATAACTCAATGAGCTTATTCACATTGAATAAAACTATCTGTCTCAGCTGACAAAGTCCCTACTTTATAACTACCCAGTTCCTGTAATGAAGAAACTAGGTATACTACAATTCCCAACCTGTCTGTCCAGTGCAGTCATTGATACATTTACATAGGCTAGAGGCAATGCCTCCACATTTTGGAGATACCATACCCGAGGTAGAACAAAGCACAATCATGTTTTTTCATAATGTCTCCCATTTATGAAATGGATGGTTGTGTACAAATATTTTATTGCAAACTTGGTTAAATTGATAGATACTGTGACACACACCCTAAACTAAAAAAAATGCAGAATAATAACCCAATATTGCAAGCTCTGAATATTGCTAAAACTTTTGAACACAAGTAATCAGTCGCCTGCCCTATATACACAAACAAACAGCATTAGGATATCTTAATGCATCTTCGAAAAATATACACCTGTAAACACAGAGATACAATAGGCGGAAAAATATAAACCATGAATATTTATGATGAATGCAAGCTTTACTTTTTGGCAGCTGATTAATAGACAACTTTCCAAGTCAAATTTGCTCTCATTCAGTCTCATTCCTGAATCCATACAGTTACACGTGTTTATTGATGTTGGGGCCAGAGCAATCTGCTCTAAGGAAAGAAAGTGGGCTCAGACATCGAAATGACATTTTTTGGGGTCCAAGGTTCTTTGAAGGATTTTTCATCTTTAGCCCCTACTCTTGTAATTTAGTCAGGGGGGCCACAACGGATAATCTTTGGGGCCACCCTGGAATTTGCCTCAAATCCAATATGGTGTCCAATATCCAATATGGAGTTTAAATCACGTGTAAATATGAATTTTGTAGATAGATGAGAGCCATTTCTTTTAGAATTGTGTACAACACTCATGCCAATAAAGACTGTTTCAGTGTAAATCAATTTTATTCTGAATCCAATATGGCCAACATAATTACACTCAAACACCTTCACCTGCATATAAATTGCCCTGGTTTGTTTTGTATTGTGTTATTCTGTCTTTAAAACGGTTTCATAGGACTATGAGTGGCACTGCCATGCCTCTGTTGTGTTTGAAAAGCTGAAGCCAACTATCTTTTCAATGTGTGTTCTTGTTTTTCATGACACAAGCACACAGGCTGTGTTTAGACAGGCAGCCCAATTCTGATCATTATTTCACTAATTTTCACTAATTGGTCTGTAACCACGGCCACAGTAGCGTAACCAAGTTACAGGAAAGCCTCCTGTAAAACAACAGTCGGCCGCTCTAGCAGCTCAACATTTCCCCTTTTTCCCCCACCCCCCAAGTGTGCAAGGTTGATTCCAAGTCTTTGAGGTGACAGGACATTAGTGTGTCCTGATTGGGCGAGGAGACAAAGTAACCAGTAGTGGTTGTAGTTCTGGGGCCTGACCAGCTTGCACAGCTAACTGGTCATTCTGGGCAAGCTGCAGCGACAAGGACACTATCCTTCCTGTATGACTGGCAGGGCAGTTTCCATTTCTACAACAGTTGGGTGCAGGCACTCACCACGAGTGCCTGCACCCAAGTGCCAAAAGAGACCCTTTGACTAACTGGAATGTTATCTCAGCCTGACTGATGCTGGGGATCACAAGAAGTTGGTGGCACCTTAACTGGGGAGAACAGGCTCAGTGGAATAGGTGGAATGGTATCAAATACATCAAACACATGGTTGCCATTCGCTCCGTTCCAGACATTATTATGAGCCGTCCTCCCCTCAGCAGCCTCCACTGGTGGGGATACTCCAGTAGTGGAATGGTTGGTTGTCTGGTTGTGAAGGAGAGTCT